CACTATAGCGCCTCTCTCTAAACATTTACAATCGCAAAACGTCGAGTTTATGCAATTTGCGTTCCGATGGATGAATTGTCTCTTGATGAGGGAGCTCAGTGTTCGCAATACGATTCGAATGTGGGATACATACCTGGTATGTGGCTTTCTATATACTATCCCTTGATCTATATGTCAACAAATCATCTTCAGTCCGAGGGGTCGAACGCATTTTCCGAATTCCATATTTATGTTTGTTGTGCATTTCTCACTACATGGAGCGAAAAGCTCAGGGCGATGGACTTTCAGGTACGTATCAGTCGAGCATACTCTTCCATGCCCTCATCTCCTTTCAGGGTATTATTATGTTTCTCCAATCGTTGCCAACCCAGACCTGGGGTGACCACGAGATTGAAGTCTTGCTTGCCGAAGCATATGTGCTCAGCAGCGTCTGGCACAACGCTCAAAGTCACATACTGAAAGGCGAATAGATACTTCTCAGGTTCTCGGCTCTCGGTTCTTGGTTCTCGTGGTTTCTCGAGTCTATTGTGCCTACCGCATCTTAACACGAAACATTTGGGAAGACGAAGAATACCTTCATTGCATTGAATGTTTTGTCAATATTTGGTTCGTTCACGGTGTCAGTTGATTGTTGGGTCCACTCTGGTCGGAATCTGCATTTTGGAAGGTCTACTGATATTCACGTTTGGGAGAGACTAAGATATGTCCACCGTCTAGTCTCCTCGGTAATGTTCATGCTACACGGGAATGATGAGCCTCTTGGTGTAGTTGGTATTAACACATCCTCGTTGTGATGATCTGATGCACATACAGAGGGAGAGCCGTGGTTCGAATCCACGAGAGGCTGAATCTTTATTTTGGTAGAATGGTCATCTCGTACTGTTTACCGTGCCGGGAGGAGCATGACCGGTTCCATATATACGTTTTACCAGGTCTCTACGGCTTGTCTCAATCCTCCAAAGAAGAAAAGGAAGACGCTATACAAAAAAATAAGAAGATGCGCCGGAAATTGGTGATGTGTACCACGACCGAGGTTCTGCATTGCTCAGGAGAAAAAGGCTTGCAAAACAGTATAGGTTGCACCAGGAATCGAACCTGGGTCTCCGGCCAAAGAATGCCGGTATGCTTAAATGACCACTGCACCATGCAACCTTCGAATTAAATTCTGAAAAAAAGGCCAATATGATCTACATAAGAATTGAATCCCAATCGAGGCTCGTCGAGTGTTACTTAGGATCATTGACATCATCTATTTAAGGGGCCGGTCGAGTCCAAGGTGACATACATCACGAATCCCTATTCATATGCATAAGTAAGAGTCGAGTTTGAGATGTCTAGCCTAGGTGAGATCTGCGAAAACGTCGTCACACCCCTTGTTATCTTCCTCCTTCGCTGGTTCCATCCCAACCTCACTCAACATTCGCCCAATACCAACAGCCTTCACCCTCTCCAGCTCTTGCGAGCTCTTGACGAGCAACATACCCCCGAAACCAAGTGAGTTGATCGAGAGGCTCAGGAATGGTTCGTCCCCCTCTCTGGTTGCAGACAGGTGCGATGGTTCATCTGTACCCGACGGATCCCGTGCAATAACAACCTTCTCCGCACTACGCGGGAAAAGATAAATGTGTTCGAGCGTCATCACGACATTATAACTTGGTGTAGACGGTGCATCACTAGACGCCGTCGTCGTCCCTGTTGCTGCATTATGCTGGGCGCGTACCCTCATCGTTTGGTACATCTCATCCAGAACTGACATGAACGACATCGAGAGTTCGGCACCCAATTGATCCAGCGTTTCTTCTGACGACGAAGACGACGACGAAGGGTAGGTCGATGTGACAATACTCGACGCGGAAGCGACCACATTTCGATCTAATCGTTTGATGTGCGCTGCAAATGGAACTTTTGGGATCACAAAGGGGCGTGCTGGAGAGAGATGAGAACCATGAAGCGAGGGGATCAGTGAAAAGTAGGGAGGCAATCAGATACTCATACGTGCTCACCTTCATTTTCGATTTTTGCGCTCCTCGCGAGACGCTCGAGAGGTGGTTCACCCGGCATAAACTGGATATGTTTGTGCGGTTGACTAGCTCCGCTCAGTACACCACAGTTAAAAAAGGCGAAATATGGTCGTTGTCGAGATTGAGCCGCTAGCAAAAGAAGATATGTCTGGATGAGTTGACCAGGCGTAAGAGGGTGCGACTGGGACTCGTATACTATTCAAAGCCAAACAAAGGGTGGGTCATTAAACGCGCTCAAAAGGATGGATAGACTGCGTTAGGCAGAAGGGTGGACACATACACTTCGTGACGAGTAGAAAATGTCCCCGGGCGACGGCATATTTGTTCAAGAGTACATAGTATCCATCCCTTTCGGTTTCTCCTGTATCAGCGTCTTCCATCTCCCCAACGAGAAGCGTGTTGAATGGTGGTAAGAACGGGTCTGTCTTCACGATTGTTTCCACGACTTTGAG